GCCTTAACCCAACCSGTGAATTAACCCTCTTTTGGGGATTCACTCAGTGGAAATTGAAGTGTCAGGGTGTGGCTGGAGGTGGGTACTGGGGTGTGGCTTTGGGCTATGTATTTGTACCTGGCAAGAGGAGACCTCTCTCTGCGCCTCCTGATCATTGAGAGCTGCTTCCCTCTGCCACGCTCTTCTGTCATGAGCCCCGAGGAATGGAGTCTGCTGTCTATGGAGTGAGACCTCTAAACTACGAGCCCCCAGTTAAACTTTTCTCCCCTGTGGTTGTTCTGCTCGGGTCCTTTAGTCACAGCAGCAGGAAAGCTGACTAAGAAGACAAGGCCTTCCTCTCTGCCTCTCTCCTCTCCTGTTCTCTTTGGGTTAGGCCTCGACAAACATGGCTGCCTGTGGATTCCAACAACGGTCCCCAGGAGAACAGCCCACCTGCATCAGCACTGCCTCTCATCTTTCCTCCAGCTCCCTGGGACCAGCTCGGCCAGGGCAGAGGACTTCAGCAGTGGCTCCCGCCTGCCCTGCGGAGCGGGGCTCTGGGCACACACATGCAGGACGGACCTGCCCCCAGAACCCCAACCAGGTACAGGCAGGGACTGAACTGCCCCTGTACCCGAGGTTGACCCTGAGCCAGGGGTTCTGCTTTATTCTGAGGCCCAGCCAGCTGCGTGAACTCAGGGCTTCGTGGACCCAAGAGGAGGCACTCCCAGAACCACACAGGATCTAGGATGCCCAGCAGAGCCCGTCATGGAGTGCACACACGGTGGGAATCTGATGCCTGCCTGGTTCTTGGCTTATCCTTGTAGACAGGACTCCTAGGGCTGAGGGGGTGAGTCTGCTGGGGAGGCGAATTTCAGCAGGATCTGCAGGCAGCCACCAGGGGAGTCTGGAGGGAGGAGGCTTCCCAAGGAAGGTCGGGAGAGCAGGACCTGCAGCACTGGGGATGGTGTGGCTGGGTGGGCTGTCCAGGTGGAGCCCAGGTGCAGGCTCTGGAGCCAAAGGGGAAGGCCCTGTGGGTGTCRGCAGGGGAGGGCCAGGATTCAGTAGTTTTTGTCAAGCCCCTGACCCACATGGACCTGGGGGATGTCTTCAGCAGATTCTGTGGTCAGAGCCACTCAACAGTGAGCAGGACCACCATAGAAGAGGGCCATGGCTCTTTGTGAACCTGCCTCTGCCTTGATGGCTCCAGTTCCCTGTGTGGGTACAACCACGTGACTGGACTCACATTATGTCCTTGGGCTGCAGGGTCATGTACTTTTGGGTGCTGCTGTTTCATGCCATCCTTAGAGCACGCTGCAAGAACTCTGGACCATGGAGAGCACCTTGTGCCTCTCCAACCTCTGACTCACTGGACCATGAACTTGGCTTAGCCCGTCTCCCAGATGGTGACTTGGGTAACCCTCAGTGTCTCTGGAAGCAGCAAATGTGTGATTCCACACTACCACAAACAGCTGTCAGTTCAGATACCAGCTGCTGCCTGTGGCCTGCACCCCTCCCCACTAGATCTGGCTGCCTCAGGAAGTGGCGGGGCCTGTGTAGGGACAGAGGGCACCTTCACTCCTCTGAACCTTGGTTGCTCCAGGCTCCACCCAGATCTAGCATTGCCCTGGCAACTCCTACCAGTAGCTCCTTCCCCTTCCCCTATCCTCCACCAGTTCAGGTGCATGGCTCCCTGCCAGGAAGCATCTAACAGATGCTCCGCCCTTAACTGCACTGTCGTGGGCCACCTTTCACCCCAGTGCTACTGAAGCTGTGGGGAAAGAATACTGAATGGGGAGTTGGTAAAAATGCACAAGACTAGGCTCAACCCAGAGGAGACACAACAGAAGACCAGAGTGGGGATCCTGGAAATCTGGCATTTTAACAATTTTATCCAGCCCCCACCAGTGATTTTGCTGCAGGTGACCCTCAACTGCAGCTTTCTCTTTAACTCTGCTGGAGGCTGCAAAGGCCAGACAGGCCGTGCAATACCACAGACTGGAGGAAGGTGGAACGCTGCCAGGCAGGCTGTGGTGTCTGCAGCCATGCTAGGAAAGAAGGCAGTGCCAAGTGAGGAGGGCAGCCCAAGCGTGGATGAGAGGGGGCGTGTCAATGGCAAAGAAGGACACTTGATAAACCAAGGCAGCAACCAGGAGGCAGGACACAGGTGCTGTCAGGCTGAGGAGGACAGTGACAGACTGACTGGAGAAGAGTGTGGGGAATGCGTGCTCCTCCTCAAGGGCAGCAGCTAGAAGACTTTCCTCCAGGAGGCTCTGTCTCCACAGCAGGCCAGAATGAGGAGGTCCTCCCCTAGCCCCATGCCTTTTCCCTGCTGTGCTATTTGCCACGCTACAAGGTCTGGCCTTCTCTGTTGGCTTCTTCCCATAAAACACAAGACCACTCCAGCAAATGGAATCCAATATATCAAAGGAATTACATGCCAGGGACAAGCGGGATTTACCTCAGGAATAAACAGTTGGTTTAACTCCAAATATTCAATTATTATAATCTATGCTATCAGGAGATGAAAAACCAAAAATCACATGACCATCTCAATAGAAGCAGATACAGAATGGGATGAATCTAAGGCCATCTCATGCTACAAATAGATGGGAACTTCTTCAACCAGATAAAGCACCTCAAAGTCCATAGCCAACCTCACCCTTTGTGGTGAAAGACTGGCTTCCTTCCTCCCAAGATCAGGAGCATGGGTACCTGCTCCCATCTCTGTTATTCCACAGTGCACCAGGGCTTCCAGCCAGGGCAAGCAGGCAAGAAAAAGCAGCAACAGTCATTCAGAAGCAAAAAGAAGTAACACTGTCTCTATTCACAGACCATCTGGTCCTGTACACAGAGTATGCCATGAAAACACTGAGAAGGGGCCTATCTGAAGAAGGTGCTCAGCAAGATTTCAGGGTACATTCCCAGACATTTATACTCCTCTATGCCTGCAGTGAGGGGTCTCAAATAAACCAAGAACACACTTCCCTTTGATGAGAGTACCAAGGAGACTCAAATATTAAGGAATAATTTAACAAAGGAAGTTCAAAACTTGGTCCACGTGAACTATGGAATTTACTCTCCTTGTTGAAGCAAATTGAAGCTTTCAACATCTGTGTTCACAGGTCAGAAGGCTCAGTATCACCTCCTGAGAAGTGCTTCAGTCTTTCTGCAGTTTCAACACAACCCCTGTCTGAACCTCAGGAGGATTTTTTAGAAATCAGCAAGCTGGTTCTAGAATGCAGATGGAATTTCAAGGGWCACCTAACTGCCAACATAATCTTGAAAAAGAACAAAGCAGGAAGACTCACATTTCCTGATTTCAAAACTTCATACAAGGCAATGATAATCAAGATGCTGTGAGACTGGTGTGCAGACAGAACCAGAAGTCCAGAGGGAACCACTGTTTGTCTCCAGACAATGAACTTTGAACAAAGGTGTCGAGACCATACATTGGAGCAATGGAAATAGAATAGGATTTCAACAAATACCATTAGAACAACTGTAAAACTTCATGGAAAAGAATTACATGGGAACCTTACTTCAGGCATATATGAAAATTAACTCATGATGGACCAAAACCCTAACTATGAGTGGGCACTGCGAAGGCCTTAAAAGGAAACAGAGGTGATCCTTCATGGCCTTGCATTTGGCAAAGAATATGAGCAGCAACAGAAAAAATAGATGACATACACTTCACAAAATTTGAAAGCATATGGGCTTCAGAGGACATTCAGTAAGTTGAAAAGACAACCTACAATGGTGCAGTCTTTGCAAATTACATACCTGGTGAGGGATCACTATGATGGATGGAGAAACTACTCCTACAATGCAGGTGTAAGAGAATCACGTGGTTAAATGGCAAAGGGTTTACACAGAATTCCTCTCCTGAGGACAGGCAATGAACAGTAAGCACCTGAAAAGATGCTCAATATCATTAGTGATGTGAGAAATGCAAATTGAAACCAGGAGATAACACTTCACACCCAACATAAAGGTTTCATTCAAAAAGGTAACAAGGCCTATCCAGAAGCCTGAAAGTGAGTCACACCAGAAAGCTAACACAGCTGTTAATGGCAGCATTACACTTTTCAGAGATGCGAAAACTCCAGTGTCCATCAGCTGATGAAGGAATTCACAAAATATGTGTGGCATTCATCCAATTAAACATGATTTGGGCATAAAAATAAACAACTAACACATCTACATGGGTGAACCCTGAAAACATTATGCTGAGGAGAAGAGGTCAGTGACAAAAAAATCACACATTGTATAACTCCATTCCTAGCACATGTCAGGATTGGAAACCCATAGAGAGAAAACAGGCAGCAGTGGTGGCCTGGGTGGGTAATGGGGTCTGGGGTTTATTTATTTTTTGGTGGGGGAGGAGAAACCAGGGATTGAACTCAGGAGCACTCGACCACTGAGGCACATCCCCAGTCCTATTTTGTATTTTATTTAGAGACAGGGTCTCAGTGAGTTGTTAAAGTGCCTTCTCGTTGCTGAGGCTGGCTTTTAACTTGCAATCCTCCTGCCTCAGCCTTCCGAATTACTGGGATTACAGGTGAGTGCCACTGCACCCAGCTTCAGTGTTTATTTTTGAGGTCACATAAGTGTTCCAAACTGGACTGTGGTGATGACTGGTGAATCTGTGAATGTACAAAACATTCCTCTATTCTACACAGAATTGGTGGGTTGCATGGTGTGTGATAACATCTCACTAAAGTTACAGAGCATAAGAAGTGCCTAGAGGAACAAAAGCAGCTCACCTGATGAAACCACAGAGGAATTCCTGAATTTGCAGGGAGGCAGAAAAGAGCAGCAGCCTCACTGTAGCACCTGAGGACTTGMAGGGAAACCAGCATTCAGGCACGTTTCCAACCAACARCATTTTCCTTTATTTTGCTCTTACAACAAGGCATGAAGGGGCCAACGGGAGGCCTGACACATCAGCGTCTCCAAGAGAGAACAGCAGCATTCTGAGCAACAGGGGAAGATGAATGGACCTCCAAGAGGCCAYCTCAAGTCACTGTATTACTGACGATGATGGAAGCAAAGCTCAGGAAAAATTTTGGTTTCCCCAAATATGCAGACTCTGCTACAAAGTCCTCCTCAATTATCTGTGGAGGTAAAAAATCTCTTTCTACGTTGGTAGGTCCTCCAGAGTTGCAAGTCATACCACCACAACAATTAGCAAAATAGAATTGATTAGGGAGCACTCTTCTTGGAGTTTCCGGAGGCTGTTCAGCAGCATATACAAATGTGCAATTCCAAGTACAGTTCTTGTAAACAAGTAATAAACGAGGGTTCACACCTGAAAAAAAAAATGGTGATGGAAATCATTGGTTTTTCATGTTCTGACTGTAAACACAGAATATTCAACATGACTATCTCCATATATTCCCAAATGTTCCAACATTCCATTGCCTAGAATTTGTGACAAAGAGAATGTTCTAGTCCACAAGAGGGTTGAAAACAACTTCCTCTAAAGATATTTTTCTGTCCATGCTGTCATCTTTGTGTCTACCCTAGCCCTCCATATGGCATCTTGGCACTTTGTCATGTAGATATACAAATGAAACATTCTGCTCATTTTTTGTCTTAAATGTTCTAGAGCTCTTAGAAATTAAGTGGAGCCAGAAATCATTTTCTAGTTATGTCCTGGTGACCTTGAAGGAGATGTAGAAAGGCACAGGCAGCCAGGGCAAGATGGTGAGTGAGAAAGTCAGGGGCAGGGCCAGACTAAAGGAGCATGCAGAGGGTCTTCCCAGGAGGTCAACTTCCCAAATGATGAAAGTGGGGGACCCAGACAGACACTTCTATACTTGTGCGCTTAAGCAGCAGATACAACAGAAAAATTAAAACAGACTTATGGACATGGGGGAACCAATAAATAATAATGAGGAGAGCTTGGATAGGGGATAAGAAGAGGGAGAAGCTGGGAGCAGTGGTGCACACCTATAATCCCAGTGGCTCAGGAAGCTGAGGCAGGAGGATTGTGAATTCAAAGCCAGCCTCAGCAAAAGCAAGGTGTTTAGCAACCCAATGAGACCATGTCTCTAAATCAAATATAAAATAGGGCTGGTGATGTGGCTCAGTGGTCAAATGCCCCTGAGTTCAATCCCTAGTAACCCTCCTCCACAAAAAGAAGAGGATATTCCAGAGACCATAAAAAGAACAAGTTAAAACTCCCCCACTGTACCCCGGGCTCCGGAGCCCTCCTCTCTCTGTTACCATCACTTTTGCAATAAACCTACTGCTTGCTTGCTATCTCTGTGTCCTGTTCTTCAATTCTTTGGTGAATAAAGATAATGAACCCAACACCCCTAGATGGTAAACAACCTCTCAACAACCTCTCAATTATTAGCAGGACAGCCTATGTTTATCTGTCCTTTCTCTGATTTCCTGTAGTTGGTACAACCCCTCTAGGACATGCTCTTCCCCCATACCCCCAGTCTGTTTCAAGCTTCTGCAGTCACATGCAAATGGTGATAGGCTCTTAAAACCAAACTCCCCACAGCATGGACATAATGCCACATTCCATTGGTGTTCCACAACTAATGTTGTCACCTTGGCCAGCTAGAGCTACCTAATCCAAGCTTCACCTGAGACCTCCTTCAAGAATCCCCAGGTGAAAAATCAGATAAGAACACTAAAACTAAAGAAAAATATCCCGATCAACCTAGATAGAAAAATCCTCTTTAAAATATTTCCAATCTGCATTAAAAATCACCATGATCTGAAATAAAAGATGTCAGGCTAGAGGAGGCTATATTCCTTGTTGCTCCTGGGCTGAGATTCAAGCAGTGGGCGTGGGAAGCTGTCTCGCTGAATGACTGGCATTCTCCTTCCCGTGGGTGGAGAGGCTCTGTCCATCTACTTTTGTAGTGACCTGGACATGTCCCCGTCTTAGAGGTAAAGGATGTGTCTTCACTTGTAGGAGTGCCGTCCTGCAGCCCCTTGGGTCAAATTACACTCATCTGTCCTTGTGACCGTGCCCCTCCTGACCTTTTTTAGATGGAACTTTCTAAGAATGAGGGTCCCCCAATAAAAGCTCACTTCCGAAAGTGCCCTCTCTCTCTTGCCAGCCTCTTGTGACTTTCCTCACTCTCCCATTTGGGGAGCTTGAGATCGAGAGCGGAGGAGCCTTCCTGAAGCTTGATTTAAAGGTGAAGTGTGTGTGTTTTATTTGGTGTCCCAGGAAATTCACATGAGCGACCTTAAGTTCAGCTGCCCATGCAGGTCGGGGGCAGAAGATGGCACCAGAATGAGGGACCGCTCGGTGGTGAATTTCCAGGATGACTGAGAGAGAGCGTGCTATAGAAATTTAATTTACCTTGAATTTTTGAAGGATCACAGAGGAAGTAGACAGTTTTAGAGCCAAGGACATTAAAGAATTATCATGGGCAGTTCCATGACTTCAGATAAAGAAATGTATTTAACAATTCTGGTGACAATAACCAATGGGAGAGGAAAGCAAATCAAAAGGACCCAGCTAGTCCAGTTCCTGAAAACGGTCAACAAGTCATACCGGATTTATGTACTTGGGAGAAACTAGGTAGAAAACTATATAAAGGGTGTCTCTCTGCCTACTGTCTAAAAGTACAATAGAGAGTGTTCAAAAGGTGGACTGCATTAGAAATGTGTCTCTTTGATGACCTAGATCAGAACCAGTGGTCCCCAAGACTTGTTGAAATGGCTTCAGAGAGAAGTTACGAGTCTGGAGCAGGAGAAACAGCCCAAGGCTGCTTCAAAGTGGTTCTGTCTTTTCCTACTGGGATTGAGGACAGAGTCAAATTTCGCTTAGCCTCCAACTCTCCAGTCGCAGACAAGCTGCATCAGGGCAAGATCTAAAATCAAAAGCTCAGTCTCCGCTGAGCCAGACAAGAGTCAGCAGCTTTAGAAGAGTGCCAAGGGGAGTGTTCCAGAGAAGAGACTAGCCCAGATCGAATTTTTTAAACTGATTTTATTTTTTTAAATACACGACAGCAGAATGCATTGCAATTCTTATTACACATATAGAGCACAATTTTCCCCCCATCGGATTTCTGGGAGGCAAATTCAAAATGGAGAGAACCAAGACAGACAGGAATATACAGACGAAAAAGAGTCACAGTCTGAGGGGACTCAGTCTACAGGTAAGGAAGACCTGGGGAGGGCTTTGCTAAATTATATTTAGCTGGGCCAGCATCCGCCATCCAAATTCAGATGCTCTCCTCCAGGAGAACAAGGTTCTATCATTACTCTGACCTGGTGGTTGCCATGCTTACGCCACTACAACGTGGCCTTAGAAGAGCGCAGGAAGTGGGGAAAGACATTACAGGTTTTCAGCTTTTTCCAGTCTTTGAACAGATTAACGAACAAAACCGCATGTCCAYGTGCAGGCTGTAGTTCCCTTTAAGACTCTAAAAAAACTCAAAAATGCTTGCGGTACCTGTGGCCCTAACTCGCCATTTTTACAAAGCCTACTCAATTCGTTATGCCAGGAGCCTTTACTCCCAAATGATTGAATTTCAATGGCAAATGCTTGCCTTTCTGGGGGTGATTATCTCTTCTGGTGGTCCCACTGGACTGATATTGTACCAAACAGGCTCAAAGAAACAAGAGACAAAATCTTGAAGCTCCCTTAGAAATTATATCGGACCTAGAGAGACAGTTAAATTATGATTTAGCCATTTGTGATCAGATCACTGCATGTGCCAAAAAGGCTTGGCTTTAAATTTCTTCCCGAGATCAAACGAGTTTAGCTTTCAATCAGATAAAACAGGGCCTGGAAGAATAATTCTCCAATATTGTAGCATGCCTATACCAGGCAGCTAACAGGTCAATCAGAGATTCAAATGCTTCCAATTCATAGTTAAACAGCTAGCATTTGAAAACGCCAATAAAGTTTGTCAAGACATTCTCCCACCTCATTGAAAAAAAAGGGCACAGTTTCAGAATTCATTCGCCTTTGTGCAGATGTTGGTCCCACACAATTGCAAGGTTTTACACTCACCTTGACTTTAAAGCAGGTACTTCAGCTCTAATCCCAGAGACGCCATTCCCTTGGGCAGTGTTTTAATTGTGGTAAGACTGGGCATTTGGCGCACAACAGGGCAGAAACCTTTCCTGRTTCACGCCAGTGGCATTACAGAACAAAAAGCTTCATGGCAAGGGGGAATGGGAACAGATATGGCAGTGACCTGCCTCCATTTCTGACTTCACTTCCGCCTTCTTCAGGGCCAAAAAATGGAATATAGGCCTACCCCAGGACCACCAAATAATCGGTGCAGAGGAAGAGCTAGAGTCGCAGGCTTTGACATCATCACAACCCACCATGGCGGATGGTCATTATTACCAGTCAGCTCCACCCAGACAGTACGGCCAGCCATGGTAACAGATTTAACACCTCAAATGAGACCACAGCGAGTTCCTACTGGAATCTGTGGGCCATTACCCCCAGGTACTATAGGCCTAATTTTGGCACAAATCAGTTTTAAAGAGGGAATCCAAGTAATACCAGGAGTTGTTGATCCAGATTTTAGAGATGAGCTAACAGTCACTGTAAAATCAGAATATGCTATTCGGCTCTCTACTAAAGACATTTAGTACTTTTACCTTGTTGTTCCGCGGACAGCCCACTTAAAACTTCAACTTCCAGGTCCCCCGGACTGAGTATATTGGGCTCAATTAATCTGGCAGGAGCGCCCCCTACTGGAACTTAAAATCAATCTTAAAAAATTTCCAGGAATCACAGATACTGGGGCAGATAAATCTGTTTTATCTCGCCAATTTTGGCCCCAAAACTGGCCTTTACATACTGCGCCAGCCAATTTAGAAGGCATAGGGCAGATCTCTCAACCTGCCCAGAGTGCCTAGTATCTATTTTCACTGGGAAGACAGAGATGGTAACACTGAAATCTTTAAGCCTCATGTTTTGGACACATTACCAGTGAACCTATGAGGTACAGGTATTCTAAACAGCTTGGGATTATTATTACTAACTGCAAATTCTATCAGGTCATTTGAGGAACTTACTCAAGGATCTACTCCTAGGGAAACTGAGAGAAACTTACAGGACGAATACTTAGTTATGATCCAATCTCCTCAACAGAGATTAATTAATGCACTCAGCCAAAATTTTTGGTAGGGGCCCTGACCTTTTTTCCAATCCCCCCCCMMCC